TGATTTTAGTTCTTGTAATTTGTACTATAACAGTGTTTAAACGCATGCTTACTGTTAGTATCTGCTAGTCGTAGCTGATTTAAAAGACGGTTAAGACTTGTGCAGAATTCAGTTTTCAGCCTTACTGTTGGAGTGACAGTTATGTCTGTGGTGGTGTTTAGTTAAGGGCTGATGCCCCTGCTGGGGAAACCAGCCTGTGTTTTTTCCTAATCGTAACCTTGCCTTGTTACATTTAGCTTCCTGAACATTTAAAAGCTTCCTGTTTCTTTTTGAAGCTTGCAGGTCTTGAAATTGCGTCGCTTGTGTTTGGCGCGATTAAGGGAACGGAATTTAGTTTTGGGAGATTTCTTTTGTTTCTGCTGTTCTTTGCAGCCGAATCTATTCTCATCCAAGGTGCTTTCCAGGTTAAAAAAAAAAACAGACTCGTTATATAAAGATGCGTATTGTAAAGTGAACAGAAAATACTTGTGCAGAGTAAAATTGAGATTAAGAGTCTTAACATCTGATAACAATATGTCAGAATCATATATCCAGTAGAATAACATCTGAAAATACTGTAGGATAACGCCAGTATGCTAAGTTGCATTTTTTCCACCTCTGTAATAAATTAGGTACTCCCCCGCGACTCTGAAATGGAAAAAGCGGTTAGAATATGGATAAATCCTCATGGTTTTCCTCTTTCCCCTTGACTTCTGCTGCAGAGAACTACACTCATGCCATGTAGTGGAAGTGCCCTGCAATATTACAGTTATCAGCGTGGGCAAACCATGATCTTATCAATGACCAGTATAGCACAACGTGGTGAAACAGTGCAAGATGGGTCGCTTTGTGTAACAATCTCCAGGAGAAGATTGTGTCACTCCAATAGTAAGGCTAGAAACTGAATTCTGCACGAGTCTTAACCGTCTTTTAAATCAGCTACGACTAGCAGATACTAACAGTAAGCATGCGTTTAAACACTGTAATAGTACAAAGTACAAGAACTAAAATCAACCTTACACTCAGTCACTGCTTTATAAAATGCTGTTGTTGTTGTTTTGAGGTTCTAATTAAGACTCGATCACTGGCATTTTGTATCTACAGGAGAAGACGTTACCATGCATGGTTTTAGCATGGTGTTCTTGCAGAAGAGTGGCTTTTGTATCGCTGTCTATCTATAGCGGGGGGTGAGCCTAGATTGCCTACAGCCAACCGAGTCCAGGCTCTGAAACTCTCGCTGGCTGGCTCATGCTGTGGGTGGCACCCAGCTGGAGGTGGCACGACTGCGACTGGCATGGGCATTGGGGGTGGGGTATGTCCCTGCTGCCCACTCGCAGCTCCACACAAGGTATTCTAGTGAAGTGTGCCGAGTGGGCGCTCGGCTGTCTTGCGGCTTGGTTTCGTAGACTAGAGAGGACGAGGAGCGTGTTTTCAGTATCCTTCTCCACGTCGGAGAAAATCCCAAGTCGATTGTGCTGGGGGTTTCCAAAAGTGCCGCGCGAAGGCAGGCCGAACACGATCGGTGATCAGATCATTGTGCACCCCAGGAACAGCCAGCGTCTTGATTTCGCGTGGGCTGACGAGGGCAGGGATTTTATGAGGCATCTCGTTCTGGGGGGGGGGGGCGGGCGATTTGAGAGAGATGGCATCTTCTCGTGCCCCCCGTCCCGAGCATGATTCCTCACAAAATGCCCGAACCGAAGCCTTTCCTTTCAAGCAACTGTTCAATTTGACGGGAGTCCCCATGTGTTTCACTCCCAGCGTTGTTATCCAGGACCCTCCGTAGTGCTGAAATCCACAGAAGTGCGCCGGCTGCTACTCGTGCTGCTGAAGGGAGGGAGGGAGGGAGGGAGGGAGCACTGGGCCCACTGTAGGAAAACATCTGGAAATAATCAGAGGAAGGAAAGTCTGACATGCAGAGAGAGTGGAGAGAGGGGGCAGGGGAGAAAAATGGGCGAGTAAGCCTTTCTGCTTTTGTGCATCGCTGGTCTTTGTCACACCCGGGTTCGGAGGCGATTGTCGACATCAGTCGTAGTGAAAGGGGCTGTAAATGGATCGTTTGGGGAGCACCGACGAGGCTCCTCGCAGGGGAGAAGGTCAGAGGGGGCCGAACAGCCAGCCTGTCGTTTGTAGCCGCGCCCCTGTTCCACTGCGAGTGGCCGTGTCACACCGCCACAGGTACCAGTCCCGGGTTTGGACAATGAAAGGCCGGACACACGCTGGACAAGTCTTAAAACTGATGGCTGGTAAAAAAAAAACGGCCAGCTGGAAGGCCCCGCTGAGGCCATGCTCGGGTTCGAGCTGTTGACCAAGAGGCAACTCGTGGTGCCGCCGGGGCAGAGCAGTGGCTCAGTGGCTCAGGATCTGCACTTGTGGCTGGAAGGTTGCCGGGTCAAATCCGGCAGCTGGCAGAGGAATCCTTCTCCATTAACCCCAGCTGCTCCAGGGGTGCTGTATAAATGGCTTGCCCTGCGCTCTGACCCCCAGCTTCTCTCTCCCTGTCTGTGTGTCTCATGGAGAGCAAGCTGGGGTCTGCGAAAAGACACATTCCTTATACAAGAAATTGTATATGGCTAATAAAGTGATCTGATCTTTCTGGTCCGGAGTCTCTTCCCACCACAAGTCCTTCTGAATAATACGTGATTCACGGGGTCTGGGGCGTATCCCAGTTAACTGAAGAGAGGACCGGACTACGCCCCAGGAGGGACATTGCAGTCCATTGTATTTGAACCCTCGGCCAGCAGGCATGGGTACAGTACCTTCTACTCCAGGACAAGAGAGTAGCTCCTAGTTTGAGGGCTTGAGCCCACGGCTTTCAAGTCCCAGGGCCGGGGCAGTGACCTCGTCGGGGTATTGCAGATCGTCTTGATGAATGCAATGCAGTCTAGCAGCTCTTGAACAAAATTTAGGAAATGATGCAACGTTCTCCACAGTGAGTCATAGAATTGTAGCAATTGCACATGTGGCTCTTACCAACTAGATCAATGACTATTGCAACTATTACTAACCTTATAAACAACATTGTGACTATTACTAACCTGATAAAACAACATTGCGACTATTACTGACTAGATCAATGACCACGGCGGCTAATACTAACCAGATCATACAATGAGCAGAGAGAAAAATGTCTAAAGTGAGCAATCAAGCATCAATGAGCAGTGCAATGCAATGTGTGGTGCAAAGAGTCTCTCACTTCTGTTAGGTGAGAGCAACAAAGATAATCAAAGCTCTGCTTCAAAATCTGGACTGCAACACAGGAGAGAGGTCTGCCTGCTTCAGGATTTCAGTCCAGAGTCTCTGGTTCGTCCCATAGCAGGAGGCTGGAGCTCACTTGCTAGGTGCGTGAAAGGAAATAAGTGCATTTTGCAGAGCAGGTGAGCAACGAGAGCTTGCAAACACCCCCCCCCCAAAAAAAACAGAGAAGGAGAAGCAGGGACTGATTTGCGGTTTAGAAATGAGTGGGTGGGAAATCAAGGACTGCTGCAAGAGTTCCTTTAACCAGGTGCTTGATATTTCAAATGTTCAAACATATGTTAATAATCCAAATAAGAACAAACATCAACACTACCATCAACAATACAGTAGTGATGATGTCCTACAATTTAATACAAATCTCTTATAAATCTAGTTCAATGCACATGAATATAGAATACACTATATGTGTGTTTAATATTTATGAAACAAGCATATTTCTGATAGCTGTGGGACTACCTTTCCATGAGTGGAAGATTTAAGGACCTGCCTTATTAATTCTAGCTGTTGTACATTCTAAGGTCACAATATGTTAAAATGTGACTATCCAATATGTATCTGGCACAATGTCTGAGCTTATCCAGAGCTGTAAACTGTTCTGTTTTGCTTTTCACTGCTGTAAAGCCAAAGAAAAAGCAGCCTTTTCTGAATTGAAGTCAGATTAACCAAATAAACATCATTTAGCAATCACAGGCAGGGACCTGGTAGGAGCTGTGTAGTAATGAATTTGCCTATGATAGGCAGACATGTGTCCAGAGGTTGTGGAGATCTGGACACCCACATTGTGACCGTCTGGAGCTTGGTATTTCTAGTAAAGCAGAGAATCCTCTTATGCTGTAATCAAACCAAAAAAGTTGTTTTTAAAATGCACAGACAGGAAAAGGAACACTGAAGGACTACTCAACCAAAGAGGACAAGCATTTGTTTAGTTTTTTGTGGGAGGGCACTTGTGTTACTCTTAATAGCATTTATTTGAATTCCATCCATGCATTTTCCCCAAACACTGTTATCTAGTTCAAGGTCACAGGAGAGCCGGAGCCTAACCTGGCAAGCAATGGGCAGGGCACACACAGATACAAACAGGGCCAGTTTTCTCAGAAACCAGTTAACCTACCAGAACACTTTTGGACTGTGGGAGAAAACCAGTGCGCCTGCTGGAAATCCACTTGAAGAAGTACAGTAATAATAATGATAATATGATAATGTTTCTTTATTAGCCCTATGCAATTTTTTGCATTAGGAATTCTTCTTTTCACATACCCCAGCTTTTCTCCATGGAGACACAGACACACAGACAGGGAGAGAAGCTGGGGGTCAGAGCGCAGGGTCTGCCATTGTACAGCACCCCTGGAGCAGTTAGGGTTAAGGGCCTTGCTCAAGGGCCCAACAGAGATGGATTCCTCTGCCAGCCGCAGAATTTGAACCGGCAACCTTCCAGTCACAGGCGCAGATCCTTAGCCACAGAGCCACCGCTCCACCCTAGTGGAGAACATACAAACTCCACACAGACAGCACCCCAGGAACTGAACCCAGGGCCCCAGCACTACAAGGCAGCAACTCGAATCACAGTGCCACTCGTGTTTAATTCCATTCTGAAGCAGTTTTGAATGGCAGGCTATTAGGGGCCTTTACTGGGAGTAAATTAAAGGCAAATTTTAATTCCAGACGAGAAAGATGGGCCTGGCTTGTACTCTTTCTTGTGTTTTCATGGCACGTGTTTGTCATAAACTTCATTATCACTGCAAGTCACCGGGGCAAAAGAATGTGAGTTAAGGCGACGAACAACGAGAAGAATCTTCTTAAAGATCTAGCGGCGAGTGCGGCAGCCATGATGATGCAGGATGGCTTTACGGAGGCAGTGCTCCCAGCGAAGAACAGCACAACGTGTCTGGAGAACGCCCTTTGGCTATGTTTGAATAACAACTGCCAAATTGAGAAAAAAAGGAAGGTCCTTCTGGAAGGACAGCGAAGAGACGGGCAGAGGGGAACAGCATGGATTGAGCCTGGAGGAGTGGAAGGTCAGCGGCAGGAATGTATGAGTCACGCTCGGTTATTTCTTCTTTCCACAGTCCATAAATGATATTCTCCGGTGGTTTACTGGGGGGGGATCAAATTCTAAAGTTTCTGTGTCACGGAGCCGGCCAGCGCACAAGGACCGGTCGCGTACCTAGTTTAAGCAGGAGAGCGAGGCTGGGGAATTCACTCCATCAGGGTGGGAAACTTAGTTTGAATGCCTGCGCCCTGACGAAATCTGTTTCCCTTGCCTCGGAATCCGGCCTGGACTCGTGGAAAAGAGCTCGGCGAGTGTTTACATTAGCTGCCGCGGCCCCCTTTGTGTAAACAAGCCGCACGCTTCCAGGAGTCGCGGTGTCTTCGCTCGTCTGAGCTGCGCCGGAGAGAACGCTATAAAAGGAGAGATCAGCGCCCATCCAGAGTTAAAGGCGGGATGGGAGTGGCGATTCTCGCCCGGAGACCAGGACCAGTCAGTGCTCGATGGCTTAATCAATCTCCGGCGGTTTAATCAGGCAGTTTTGAAAGCCCCAGCAAAAACGTCTTGCTATCCCATTCTTTTTTCCCCTTGTGTAATCACTGATGTTTTAACGTTTCAAGCGGTTCCACACGGGCTGGCGGTGCAAACGGAATTTTCCTGGGTGTCTCGCAATTTTTTTTTTCCATCCCCGCGGTCCCAATCTGCAATTTTGTTTGGGTTGCTGGAAACAGAACAGTTGTTGTTGGCCATTTATTTCCCATTTTGTAATGCTAACAAGCCCTTTACACAGTCCCCATTGATGAGTTCTAATGTTCCACTCCAGTCTAATTACTGCTGGCTTGTTTAATAATAATAATAATAATAATAATAATAATAGTAATAATACACCCCTACTCTTTTCGAGAAACAGCCTGGGATTTTTAATGACCACAGAGAGTCAGGACCTCGGCGCCAATTTACAGTATAGTGTCCCCATCACTATACTGGAGCATTAGGACCTACATGGACCGCAGGGTGAGCGCCCCCTGCTGGCCCCACTAACACCTCTTCCAGCAGCAACCTTAGTTTTTCCCAGGAGGTCTCCCATCCAGGTACACCAGGTTTAGAGCAGTCGAACAAGCTCATCACAGCACCAGTCAAGAACTAAATAAACCTCGTCAAAATGGTGATGCCACCCCCTCCCCGCCATTACTATGGTTAGTGGAGGTGCTGTTTTTAAAAAAACACATCGGAATAATAAGGATCTCTTTCGGGTCCGCTATGTTGCGGCTGTACAGCTTTCCTTTTTGAACACGCTAGTCTGTGTGAAGTCACACTAAATAAGGCCAAGAGCTGCTATTTTTCCATTTTGTTCTCCTCACAGAGAAAATCATTCAGGAGTTTGTTTGCATTAAAGGAGGGGGTGGTTTTATTTTCTGCTAAATTTGCGCCCCGATTTCTGAAAACCAATGTAAAAGTTTAACCGCGAATTCGTCAGGCCAGCCAGTAAGTGCAAAAAGTAAACCTATATCGTTTATAAATAAAACTTAATAGATTTGTCTAATGTTTATAGTTCTTTTTATATTTAATTTTTCATATGTAATTTTTATATATATATATCTGTTGTATTTATGATAATTAATATTAACATTTACTTTTATATTAGTTTGATGTATTTTATTATATTATCTTAAGAGGGTATAGTGCAAATCTTTGTTTGGACAAGGCTTAAAAAAAGAAGAGACTCGCCGTGTTAAAAGACATGAACAAGGAAAAATTATTTTTTAAAACATTTTCGATCATGCAGTCATTTGGAAAGTAATTTTCCTGCTAAAAACTATACATATCCATCCATTTTCTAACTGCTTTATCCAGGCCGTAGGGGAGACGGAACCTGTCCCCTCAAACAGTGGGTACAAGGCAGGATACACCCAAAAGCAACTGCTGAATAAGTAGATAAAGGACTATTATATAAAGAGATGTTGGAAAACTAGGCAAGATTTCTACTACAGCACAAAATACCTGTGGGGATATTTATTGGTGTGACCTGAAAATGATGTTGATGTTCCAATAACAGCTGAAACTGCGCAAGTGTACTTGAGTTTTACAGTGAGTGTCGCATTAATGTGGGGTCCCTAACAGTTGAAGACTCCTAGAGCTTTGCGGTGAGTTGGTGTTGAACTGGGCACTGGCCAGAAGGTGGAAACACATGGTGTTATTGAACAGTCATTTGGGCGGAGGTCTAATCTCATACTTCCTCTTCTTTGTAAGGTACTGTATATGAAAGCTCCCTGGCTGTACACAGCTCTGTGCATCTTTACTAGCTCCCCTTTCTCCACCTCAACTTCACCCTTTTGCGGCTGCCTCCCTGGCTCATTCCTCGTGAGTGAGGGGCGATGTGACACTGCTGATCTCCGACCAGCCCTGTCATTTCAGCCAGATGAGTCCAGACCCAATTGCTTAGCACGCTACTCCTTTATATTCGCCAGCTGTTCGTCGTTGCGATTTGACTAAATAACTAGAAGTTCAGAGGTTGGCACCTGTCCGGGCTGGGTCTCGAATACTCAGGCAGGGTCTTCCTTGTGGGTAACAGTAAGAACAGTGCAGTAAGAGTGTACAGGAGTGATATCACTCCCCCGAAAGTGTGCCATGTAGGAGCACCTAGTCTGTTGGCACAGCGGAGTTTGCATCTGTCCAGGGCGTGGCTCTGCTTCAGCCCGTGAGTAACCATGATCAGACCCTGACGGGAAGAGCTGAGCTGCACGTGTTACGCCTACATATAGGGCGGCGCAATCTGGAGACTGCACTTCTGCTGGGGGAAAGCTGGAGTGCAAACGGAACCAGATTTGAACCCGGGGCCCTGGAGCTGTGAGCTGTGACGTGAAAGCCCTACCCACCGTTCAGCAGTCAAACCCATTATATCACAAGCCTTGCTGGAGGGGGTTAGAGCTTCCTGGAGATCCCGGGACAGCGACGTCACCGTGACGTCACCAGTGGGCATCGGCAGTCTGTCCAGCTCCCTGTTCCACACATACAGGAGCTATTCAGTCAACACTGTTTCTTCCCCCTCGGGCCTCCCAGACTGCTGTCTGCATTCAGGCCTGAAAACGTCTGCTGGTGGGACTCATTACAGGCAAAAAAAAACCAGTCTCCGAGGCGGGGAGGAGAATGGGATGGGGGTCGGTTGCACTCATTTTAATTCTGGAAAGAAATACGAATGGGTAGCATTTTGCTGGCAAACGAACTGAGCCGGCAGGACCAGATGCCTTTTCTCAACTCAGCTTTCTCAATAAACACATTAAATTGCCCCCAACCCCCTTTTCTTGCGTTTTTGAGCTGCTATTGTTTAGACACGTTACCTGTTATTTTTGTCTGTTCTTGTTGGATTTTGGAATATTGTTAAAACGGACCAGATTTTATTTTGGAAGGATTCCTATGTGTTTTTAACCCTTGTGTTCACAGCACAGAAGCACAGAGAGCAGAGGCTCAGTTTTGTTGTTGTCTTCAGTGCCTCCTCCACTGATACGATCTCTAACTCTGGAGAATACAGGAGTCCAGGTCTTTACGCCTTTGTGGTTCGCGCAGCCTGGCTCTAACATGGAACTGACCGTTGCGATTTGAACTTCTCTCCAATTCTGACTCCTCCTCTCCCTTCCTCTCCCCCTTCTCTGTCTGCAGGTGGTATTTTTCCTACGCCTGCTGCCATTGGACTTCCTTCCAACAGGAAACACCAGGGAGGACAGAGAAACCACTGTTCATTACAGCTCAAGACATAGCCAGGGAGACGTGAGAGGTGAAGAACCGGGGCCCTGTCTTTACACAAAGGGTGGTAGGGGTGGAACAAGCTGCCCAACCATGTTGTTGAAGCCAGTTCCCTGGATTCTTATGAGAAGCTAGAAAATACCCAGAATATCAAATGCAGATTCGGTCTGTGCTGTAATTTTGTGTCGAAGATGAGCCAACCGAGTCACAATCCTCTGGATACTTGAAGAGAAACCCAGATTTTAACATTGCTCTTCAGCTGGAGGGATTAAAATGATCAATAATCCTTATATCCAATTAAAAAATAACGTTTTCATGTGAAGGTCCGCTGGTCATTGCATCACAGGATATATGCTTTGTTTCACCAAAGGGTTTAAACCTTCTAGGATCAAAGACCATGGGGAAATCTGTTGGAGATCTTAAAACATTTGGGATGCTTCATAAACTGTAGTTTTAATCATCTAAGGAGAAAGTGGAGATCAAGGGAAGTGACTCTTTTTGATGTTCTGCCCCAGAAGCTGAAAAACAGCTTTTGTAAATTATATTGCCTTCCTCAAAGTTTTTGCCTCATGAGCTTGACATGTTCTCAGATGACAAGGCTGCAGGCTCGCTTTGCCCTTAATTTGGTGCGGTGTCTCCACCATGTGGCGAACATGGAAAACTGCACGGAAAGGATTTTTTTTGCCTGCTGTGGCCAGCACTTAACCCACATACCCACCCAAGTCCACATGCAATCCTTTATAAACTGTTAAATAATGAAGGATTTCTCACCCCCGAACGTGGGGACCTCCACACCTGCTGGTTTAAATCCTCAGCAGAGCTGTTTGCTTGATTCCATCATTGATTGAGCCAAAGCACTGCCCGGTTGAAATCTTTATAGGCATTTTTTTCTGCTCAAGGAATGAGGATCTTGTTTCAGGAACTCAAAAGCGGAAAAAAAAATGAAAACCTGTGGTGCAGGTGCAGAATTGTGTTCCATGATGTAATTGAATAAATATTTCCTACTGCTGTAAATTTCTCTTTGCTCACAGGATGACAGCAGGCAGATGCATCATATGGTGACAGCATGGGCTTTGATACTAGTCAGGCACAGTTAACGGTAGCCCCCATGCACCCCAGTTAAAAACCTGTTGACAGAGAACTCCTGAGCTCAAAATAAGGATTTTGTTAGCAATTACTCATTTGCTTTTACAGTTCTGCCTGCATAAACACATAGATACTTACATGTACAACTAGCATGCTACACAACATTTCATGTGCTGCATTTTAAATTCAACATGCCGCAACCTGGCGCAGAGTTTAGTATTGCTGTTTGATTCCCATGGTACTGTGCTTGGAGTTTGTATGTTTAGCCCTACTTTCACGTTGGGTTTCCTTTGGGTGCTCCAGGTTTCTCCCACAGTCCAAATGCTGGTAGGTCAGTGGGCTGCTGGGAAAATCGGTGTATCCTCCTTGTGCCTGTTGCATGCTGGGATAGGCTCTGGCTCCCCCTGTGACACTGTATTGGAACAAGCAGTTTGAAAATGGATCCTCGGATCCATCCACCAAGAAACATACTATAGTTACTTGTTTGCTCTACGTGCGTGATCCTGCAGTGGAGCTACAAAAAAAAGCAAGGTTGTATGATATTCCCTAAATCAGTCTTCAGTGCCTCGCTGAGAAATTCCTGTTGACTCGTCTTTTGTCATTTCTCTTCCTCAAGGCTGCTGTCTCGCCTCTCTCCCGAAACTGAGACGTCGCTTCGAGAAAAGGGGGCTGCCAGCCGTGACTCCCACCAGCGAGAAAAGAGCTACGGAGGCCTGAGAGACTGGTCCATTCCCAAGAACTTAAGACCTGAATTCCCGGATCGGGAAGATAGCGGTTCGAAATCGGCAAAGATCACCAGATTTCCTATCCTTGTTCGGAGTTCCGGTTGTCTGTTCTGCACAGCTTCCCGTTTGATTGCCCATTCCAGCGCAGATTGGTCCCTTTTGTAACCTGCGTCATCTGCTCCCATTCAGGGCTCTGCTGTTAACTTGCCGTAGGAGTTTGTCTCTTGTAAAGCCACTCGGCGTTTCTCAAAAAGCTGAACACACAGCCACACATTCCCTGGTGAGCAGACAGAAACGGCTGTGGTGAGGTCCTGGAGTCAAAGACACACACAAAATCACAAGCTTGCCCAAAGCGTGCATATCTTTAAAGTTAAGAGATTTCTTCCTGTTCAGTAGATTTAGAGCACAAAATCTTTGTAGATTATTTCCAAAACAGACCATTCTGATAGCTCGGTTAACAGGACACCCATACTTTCTTTACTTTCCAAGCGTTTCCGGGAAAAGTTTCACGCCAACAGTCAAGATGCCCGTAGTGATTCCCACCCTGCAGTCCTCTCCTCTGCTCTTTGCGCGTCTGGCGGCTCTGGTTTTGTCCTGCGTGGCCTTCAGCCTGGCAGTGCACGGGGCTCAGCTCGGCCATGGCACCGGCGACTGGTGCATCTTCTGCTGGAGCTTCAGCTTCGCCGGGACGCTGCTGGTGCTGCTGGTGGAGCTGTTCGGCCTGCAGGCCCGAGCCCCCGTCTCCTGGCGCAACTTCCCGATCACCTTCGCCTCCTACGCCGCCCTGCTCTGCCTCTCGGCCTCCATCATCTTCCCCCTGTACTTCCTGAAGGGCTACTCCAGCACCTACTCGTCGCGGGATTATCGGATCGCCGTGGCCGTCTTCTCGTGCCTGGCCACCCTGGCCTACATCTGCGAGGTGTCCATCAGCAAGGCCCGGCCCGGAGAAGTGGCCGGCTACATGGCCACGGCGCCGGGCCTGCTGAAGGTGTGCGAGACCTTCGTGGCCTGCGTCATCTTCGTCTTCATCAGCGACCCGGTGTCGTACGACGACCACGCCGCCCTCAAGTGGTGCCTGGCCGTCTACTGCATCTGCTTCATCATCTCGGCGGCCATCATCGTGCTGTGCGTGGGGGAGTGCACCGGCTGCCTCCCCTTCCCCTTCGCCCGCTTCCTGAGTGCCTACGCCCTGCTGGCCGTCCTCATGTACGCCACCGCCACCGTCATCTGGCCCATTTACAAGTTCGACAGCCGCTACGGAGGGCACACGCGGCGCACCTCTGGGTGCAGTCAGACTGTTGGCCTCTGCTACTGGGACAAGCTGGTGGCCGTCTCCATCCTCACCGCCCTCAATTTCATCCTCTACCTGGCCGACCTCTTTTATTCGGCTCGTCTGGTTTTCGTCAAAGTGTGATGCCCCTCCTCCCCCCCTGCACCCCTTCCCCGGTCTTCTCTACTCTCTGCCCCCTCCCCGTTTGCGATGTGACGTGCAGCAGCTTTCCAAATAAGAAAACGAGTGAAAATATCGAACGCGCGTTTCCTCGGCTTTCCCCGTCCTCGAGTACATTTTCGGCTGACTTCTCGCTCTGTTCCCAAACATAAGCTCCCGAAACGACTCTGGATCCCACCGCCAAAGGTTTGAAAAAGTCCTCTCGCGAAGCAATGTATTGTTGTAGGTTAAAGGTTGTGCTGTCCATATTCAACAGTAGACCCACGTGTAATGTTGACGTTCGGAAGTCCCACAGTTGCAAATCGCGATACAACTGTGCTTGAATAAGCTGTTCCCGTGTTTGGTTCTTGCCAGAATGATACTGACAATGCCAACAACTACACTTGGAAAATTTAGATCTGTAGAATGGAACTGAGCTCCTCAGAAGCCAACAAATGCCCAAACGTGCTTTATTTGTCTTTTTTTGTATTTTTTATTCAAGCGAATCTGACCAAATTCCCATCACCTCTTGTGCCTTCTTGACAGGATTTGTCAGGCCTCACTTGGACAAAGGTTTTTTTTTCCTCCAAAGAAGTATACGAGTAGTAATTTCTTTTTTTACTGCTGTTTTTTTATTGCGTACATATAATAATTGTAGTGCAAAACTGTCTAATTTTAGGTCTGTCCGAAAGGCTGAGTAGTTTCCGTATCTTGGGCACGACGTGATGTCCTGCATCATTGCTTCAGGTTCACACACACACACACACTTGCGCTGGGGAGCCTGCGTCGTTTTCAAATCAACCAGCAAATCCCCAGAGAATTTGTCCGATTTCCACAATGCCTTTCGGAGATCTTCAACCAAATCAGAGGACAGTCGCTCAGCTTTTATACTTGTGTCCAACAAGCAGTTTGGTACCATTTCTTTTTTCTTCTTGTTCGAAAGCCTGCAGCTC